CAAGGCAACCCCCAATACCAATACAGGCTGGAGGATGAAGGAATTTGGAGTAGCCCTGCTGAGAAGGACTTGGGGGTACTGGTGGATGAAAAGCTGGACAGGAGCTGGCAGTGTGTGCTCGTAGCCCAGAAGGCCAACCATATCCTGGTCTTCTTCCAAAGCAGCGTGGCCAGCAGGTCGAGGGAGGTGATTCTGCCCCTCTACTCCACTCTTATGAGAGCCCACCTAGAGTCCTGCATCCATCTCTTCCGTTTAGCACAGGAAAGACATGGACCTGTTGGAGAGGGTCCAGAGGAGGGACACAGAAATGCTCACAGGGATAGAGCACCTGTCCTCTGTGAACAGGCTGAGAGAGCTGGGGTTGTTCAGCCTGGAGAAGAGAAGGCTCCAGGGAGCCCTTATGGCAGCCTTCTCCTATGTAAAGGGGGCTTCTAAGAAAGATGGGGACAAACTTTTTAGCAGGGCCTGCTGCATAGCACAAGAGGTAATGGTTTTCAACTAAAAGAGGGCAGATTTAGACTAGATTTAAGGAAGATGTTTTTTCACAATGAGGGTGGTGAAACCCTGGCCCAGGTTGCCCAGAGAGGTGGTAGATGCCCCATCCCTGGAAGCACTCAAGGTCAGGCTGGACGGGGCTCTGAGCAACCTGATCTAGTTGAAGGTGTCCCTGCTTACTGCAGGGGGCTTGGACTAGATGATCTTTAAAGGTCCCTTCCAACCCAAAGATGCTGTGATTCTGAGTCTTGCCAGATACAGTTAGCATAAGGGTGCCTTTATCCATAGCAAGGATTGTGCAGTACACAAATATCATTAAAAGCAAATTAAAAAAACACCTTGTTGGCCTTAGGCTCAATGTGAGAAGAGTATTTTTCAGAATGTTAGGGGAAAAAATAATAATCAGAAAAATAAAATATTCCATTAAACATGTGGCAAAATTAAAGATTGCTTATAAGTTGACCTTTGTTTTTATAACTCTCTCTGCTTTAAGCCAATGAATCCTCGATCACAATAATGCAACACTATTAGAAAATGAAGTACAGGGAAGGAGAGATCTCTGTACTCACAACTGTTCCTTGGAAAAGAAGGGGATGATTTGGAGGAGTGTGGTTAACATACAGTAACATGTATTAGAAGTAAATGCTATATAACAATATTTGTGTCAGCCTAAAGCATTTTTTTTGTCAGTATATTGCTGACAAAGTCCTATTGACATGACAGTAGATTATTATCTCTGATGGAATATATTCCTTGTCTTCCCCAGAGTCATTTGCCTTGGATCCACAGTTTGAATCCAGGACTAGAAAAAATAAGTGCAATTGTATGGGAGGGTAATGACTGCAAGAAAGCAGATATGTCTGTACTTGAAATCAGTGGTATGATAATGAACAGAGTGAGTATTCTTTTTACTTTATGCAAATATTGTATTTAGGAATCTATGTACTACCAAAAATAAGCTTGTTTTACGTTGGGGTGTGTTTGGTTTTTCTTTTTTTTTTTTTTTTAAATATCTGTTATTGACATTGTTGTTCCATGGTTTACATCACTCTCGTCTACTTGTTACTAACAGATAAAAGAGCTATCAAATCTTAAGTATTGGGACACTAAAATGTGTTTGCACTGTTAAGTGCATACTAACATAGCCAACCTCTGATTTACTGTTCCAAAGTGAGGTATGCTGTGAATGTTCTTATTTATGTCCTTCATTCCAATGAACAACTAATGTTGGGTTAGATATAGGAATATACAGATCTGAGTATTTGGATGCTAAGTTAAGTTTGGAAAAGAAAGCTTTCCTCTTTAGGAAACAGACATCTAAGAGGATGAGTGGAATGTTTCACTAGTCCTCCCTTGTTTTTCCTTAGTAGTCATCTTCAGGAAACAGCTGGAAGAGCATTTATTTGACAACGTAATTTTTTTCAATATAGGCAACATAGGCACTTTGTAGAGTTGAACATAAAATGCTGCCATAGCTTAAGAAAACTCTCACTAATTCTGACAAGCTGATACTTACAATCTCCAACTTGTTAAAAAGCAATGTATTCACAAATTTAGTTCAGATCTCTGTACCTGACTCAGAGATGATATGGTTTTGGGTGCAGTCCACAGTAGCAGTAAACTTAACAAAGCCATAGCCAGGACAACAGAGCTCCAGTCCTGTCTGCACTGTGAACACATTGATTCCTTTTAAAAAAATACAACCTAAAAGCAAAACACAAATAGGAGCAACATACAGGATGTACGCAACGCGATCTGACTGGCGCACTTTGCTAATTCACCGTTGAATGAATTTTTAATATAAGAGTATGCACTGGACTCTTCTAACTGCAATGTTATGTTGTTGGGTTTCTAAATTATCTGTTGTATTTGGTTCCTGTGCATTAAGTGCTCTTTGAAGACTTCCTTTTTCTTAATAGTAAATTGTGAGGATGCTTGATTGAAGGTTTCATATGACTTACTAGGTTATAATGTGCTCTTTGTGATAGTATGACAGTCACATTAACAATATATTTATTGACTTAATTACAAATTAATTCCAAAATTAAAAATATACCTTGTTTTCTTTTGTTTTTAGGTGAACAGCTATATACCAGGAATTGGTTATCAGATTTTTGGAAACGTCATATCTTTAATCTTGGGTTTAATGCCATTTGTCTTTCGACTTTCCCAAGCTAAAGATTTGGAACAACTAGCTACACATTCTGCCACTGAACTTTGTATGACTGCATTTGGGTCAAATGGAGACATTCTGGTTCTCTCAATGGTTATTATAAGTTTTGTGGTCCGTGTGTCTCTAGTGTGGATTTTCTTTTTTCTGCTGTGTGTAGCAGAGAGGACATATAAACAGGTACGACCAGCAAACTAAGAGGCTGCATCCAAAGCAAACCAAGGTTTAATGTTTGTGTTTTTTTGACTTTGTGGCTATTTTAAACTTGTTTTCTCCAGTGCGCTATGATTCATAGATGAATGATGACAAATACTTCAGTGGACTTAGAGTTTAGGAGATGACTCAGTTGCAATGGACTGAAGTCTCTGTACAGTCTCTGTAGCTAAACCTTTTTTCCTGGAGAGCATTTCTGAGGGAAAACTTTTTAATCTTTCATTTCAGATTTCTGGCTCAGTGCATTAACCCAGCTCTTTAGTCATGTCTCAGTGTTCCCCGAGGGGAAGGAGTTTCAAGAAAAGAACTTCATAATTTTCCAGTTTGTTCTACTAGTGTGTTTCATTCAAAACCTTCAGTTTAATTCAAAACAGTTCAGTCCAGACCCTAGCCAAGAGACCTGCCTGCTTTGCTGGTAGATCAGTCCTATGGATGGAGACTGTGCAAGCTGCTGTCTGAAGTAAATACACCTGTTAATTTATTGCTTGTTATTGCAATTTAAACTTTTAAGAGAGTATCAATATCCCTTACTAGCTGCAGAGTATAGATACTTACTGGTCTGCAGAAGAAAAAAAATTACTCTGTCTTTCCCCAAGTTGTAGCCAATATGTGTGATTTAATACAGTAGAATAGAATTAACCTGCTTCTAATAATTTCTGTTGGAAAGAACTTCTTTGATACAAGAACCCTCTAATGCAAATGATTGGCAGGTTTGATTTTTCTCCCAAATTCTAAGAGCATAGCAGATCTGTTGTCTGAAATTTGAAGAAAGGAACTTAGTGTGGCTAAATTTTATCATTATACTACAAAGACTTTTAAACTTTTTAGTGTACCTCCTCTTTTTAGTAACATATTACTCTTATTTCTGCACTATATTAACATATTTTAATTTACACTGATACATTGTACATTACTTTGACATATTAAATGAAGCCTTTTCTCCATTTTCTTTCTAGAGCCCTTGAAAATTAATGAACAGTTAATTTATTTTTTTTTTCCTTCTCTGCAGAGGCTACTTTTTGCCAAACTTTTTGGTCACCTAACATCTGCCAGAAGGGCAAGAAAGTCAGAGGTTCCTCACTTCCGCTTGAAGAAAGTACAGAATATAAAAATGTGGCTTTCTCTCAGATCCTATCTAAAGGTAAAATAATGTATATTTTTTGCTACCATTTTAATATAAAGTATCTCATATTCTGTTGATGGAAGGTTGGTATTCTTGTCTGAATTTTTCCTCCTGTGCACTTACCCTTATTCGTGCACATGTGCCTTATACACTTCATTTTAGCGACTCTGGGCCAGCAGTGTCTGCAGGCAGACAGATTGTGAGAAAGTAGTAAATATCTATTTTTTACCTTGGAGTGAAGTAGGAGTGTGTTCAGAGTTGGAGTCTTTTCTTACTAATGCTAGCAGAAAAGTATCTCAGGTGAATGTGTTGGTTAAAAATGACCACTTGTAGTATAGTACAGACAATACCTTATTGTAAGAGCCCCACCAGTTAGTGTCATTAACGCAGATGGAATTTATGTGTGTATTTGTGCTGTGAGTGTATATGTGCCAGGTGAAGCTAGAAATTATGCACAAGTATTATGTCTAAGACATTCCAATCCCTATACTGTATGTTCAGCTCATACTTGAGTAATCTCCTTATCTCTCTAATGATCTTTTCAAGCCGGAGCATTTTGACGATTCTTTGTGAAAGGATCCATATTATCTAACTCAGGGTTAGTTTGTTGGTTCCTCCCCCACCCCCAAGTTTTTTTCCATTTTTCTCTATGCATTAGGTAATTTGACTCGGATGAAGCTAGGTTTTTCCCTATTCGGTTTCTGTAGGACCAGTTTTTTGATGAACAGCAACTGACAATCTCCTGTTAATAGTGGTAATCCCCTTACTTTTATCTATGCTTCAGCAATATGCAATAGCAATTAAGAAAGGTTAGATGATATCTGCTATCAATTTAGAAGTAGATAAAGGATTATGAAAACATAAAGAAGTTATGGTGTGGGGGCTGGGGAGTGTGGAAAGCAGGAACTACAAGCGGGCAAAATTTTTAACATAAAGCACAATCTTAAATTTGAAAGGTGCATCATTTTAAGAGGAACTGAGGCAATTCATTTACAACACCCCTTGTGTTATGGAAGTATCTGTTGGGGGGTTTGTAAAAAAAGAGGTACCTGTTAAACTTTGCGTTTGAGAGACTTCTATCTTTTTACTTGTAGTCTGTTATGTGTTGCTGGGTGGGAGGAAAGGAGAATAACATCACTTGGACAATAGAATGTACTTTTGATGGTAGCATTGTTATGGAGTGTCTTGCCTTCTTTCCTCACAACCACATCTGTATATTCCACCTTTTCTTATGCCACCAGAACCATTTGTATAATCGTATGGCTAAGAAAAAAGCCATCGGTGGTTAGAGGCAGGTGCATAAGGAACTGACCCAACTGAAAAATAACCAGTCAAGAACAGTAATTTTCTCCATCTATTGCTTTACTTGGTTCACTGGGCAGCTCTGTAATGCCTGTGCTAGCACAAGGAAAGGAACGCAGGGCTGCCTTCTTGCAGTGGTGCTGCTGGTATATACTGGCATAGCATTTGTCCAAAGTACACTTGCATATTACCTGTCTGTATATGTGTCCACCTGTGAGGACGTCAACTAGGGCATATACACATCTCAAGTCTTGCACGGGCAAAACACGCTGGCTCATTATAGAAGTAGTGTATCTATACCTGCAGTAGTAATTTGCACGTCATTTTTTTTTCAGTAGTTAAGCTTCCTATCTCTTCCTCAAAGTTTCAGTGTCATAGCTTGCATATGTACACCTCCCATTCTTCCCACATTTATACAATTAGTAGTGTATCTGGAGAACAAAGTTGAGAAATAGTGTCTGTTATAACTTGTACATGTTTCAATGCAGCACAGGATGTTTAATTCTTTAATTGAAAAAAAAAACCAAAAAAAAACCCGAGGAAAAAGCTCAGTGGGAGGAAACATTTCGTTGTACCAGTAAGCAAGGAAAACATGGTTGAAAACAGTGAGGTTGCACCTTTCAAGACAAGTGTGTGTGTTCCCCAGTTTTCCTTTTTGCTCTGGGGAAGGGAATGATGATACTACATCTAGACAATGGGACGGTGATTTACAGCTACAATTTTTGTGTGTCAAAAAGAGGTAAGTAATGGAAAATACCAACCATGTGAAATCATATCTTGATATCCTGTTGTGTCCAAAAATCTTTTGTTAGCACTGGTTTGATACTTGGGGTTAAAGCCCAGGGCCATATCAGATTCGTTATGTTGGGAAATGCTGCCTAAATGAAAGTTACTTCACATCATGAAGGAGCTGACTGGACAAGTGGTGAATATTTTCTTTTCTCATAGTTATCTTCAAATGCTTACGTGAAATTAATTCAGATATGCCTTTCGGGGTATCAAATGTAGTGGTATTATTACGATCTAATATGGTGTTTGGAACATAGATTCCCAAATTGTAAGCCATGATGAAATGTAGGTTCAAGGTGTGAATCTAACTGGATTTGCTAAATATCAACGCTGGTTGGGTAGGTTTTCACTCACATATGTGTATCCTTTATTTTCAGCGTCGTGGTCCTCAACGTTCAGTTGACGTAATAGTTTCATCTGCCTTCCTACTAACTATCTCAGTTGTGTTTATCTGTTGTGCACAGGTGAGAAAATCTTACTTGTATAGAAACAACCATGATTTAAATAGTTCTAAAAATAATTTTGATTGCCTTTTGTATGGTGGTTCCTATTAAAATCAGTGAAAAATCAGTAACAGCTGTTGTAGCTTTTCAGAAGATTAAGCTACATTTTGTATTGTTAATTTTATCTACTTCAGAATATTATTCTGTAAGAACTAAAGAAACTTATTGATAGTTATAGAATTCATGTAATTCCTAACATGATATTATTATTTTTTAAATCTGCGTCCTCTTTCATTTTCCATCATGGATTATGGAACACAGGTGGTGGGTTTTTTTCCTAACATTTTGCATTAAAAGACACTTTTGCAAAGATGCCAAGATTGACCTTAATTGATGATTTTTGTGAGAAACAAGACTGTTGGCTATATTAGCCTGCCCTCTAGTGGAATATCTTTTAGTAAGCAAATATGTGTTTAAAGATTATTTTTCCTTGAGCTTCTGTTTCAGAATACAGGGAAGCTTCTGAATGGCTGATGGTTGTATTTTTCCCCCCACTTTCTTCCCTAGTTGTCACTAATGTGTTCTCCTGGTAGCTAATTATAAATATTTTAATAAGAATATAATTTAGCAGTAACTCTGCTTGGATTCAATTTTCTATATAATTCAGTACATTTGAGAATATATTCTAGTTTTTATCCCATAAACTGTCTTCGCAAGTTTAAAGTTGTCTTAGAGTGTTCTTTTTTTTTCTTTTGCTTTAGGAACATGAAAAAAAGATTTGTCTAAATTGTCATTGAGCCTTTCAAAGCCTATCTTTTCTCAAACCTCATATATTTGACACAGTGTTGATTTTAAATTATTATTCAAATATCTTTTATGCCTAAAAAAACCCCATATACTTATTACTGGGAAATATTTTTTGGAGTTGGGGAGATAGATAGTTGTTTTCTTATGTTGTAATGTAATTATTACTTTGAATTAATTTTTTTTCTGTTTTGTTTCTAGCTGCTTCACATGCATGAGATCTTCCTTGATTGTCACTACAACTGGGAACTTGTAATTTGGTGCATTTCACTAACTCTTTTTCTCTTAAGATTTGTTACTCTTGGATCTGAGACCAGCAAAAAGTACAGCAATACCTCAATATTACTTACTGAGCAGGTGAGAATTTGTATAGACCTATATTTTTATATCTAAACAAGTCATTCACCTAGTATGTGTCAGGTGCATTTTAGATGAATTAAAATAGTCTGGATTAGGGAGTTAATTATGGTGTAGTGAAACAACACTTCTACAACCTGAAGTTCAGTTTCTCTCAGTGTGTGACTTTGTTTAAAAGTTGTATGGAACATTGAGATGGCCACATCCCGATTTCTCTTTAAGTGAGCGGGCTTAGAGACATCAGTATGTATCATTTGATATAATTAAAGATCTAACAGAACACAAACATAAAAAGTAGTTTTTAAACAGGAAAAAGAAACCTGAACTCTCAAAGTGTTGGATGGGAGAGTAAAAGATTTGAAATTAAACTTACCCTCTACGAAGTGGGTCACTGGGCTGCTAATTTTGACTGCTAGGTTGTGTGGATTACATATAGTTTCCTCTAGACTCTTTGGAAACTTTTTCTTTCAGTTTTCTGTGAAGCTTGGCTTTGGGTCTACACACTTTTCTTCTCAGGAATATTCTAGTCAGCGTTTGTATTGCAAACTTCCCTCTGCTCTGCCTGGTACTGCTGATAGTTTTCCGACCTAAGCATGTTCAGTTAGTGTTAGGTAAGAAGTAATCTGCTCAACGAGGTTTCACACTGGTGCAAAACACAGCATTCAGGATAAGGTAACTAGGAAACCTGTGAAGATATCTTAAGCTGCCTACGGGAAATGTGTTCAGGTTGGAGAATAAAATCTTTCAAGCTGAGTCTCCCAGTCAGTATGTTAAGCTTACGATAGAATTTACCTTGTCCTGACTGCTCTGTTTTGTACCAGTGTGAAACCTCTCAGAGTTCCTGAACCCGGAGAGCTTTGCATTGTTCTGTTGATCCTCCGAGTACGAATAGCCTAATGTGCCAGTGAAGTTTATGTCCTCTATTTCTGGAATGAAAATGGAGGGGAATGTTTGGAATAAGGTTTGGAAAAAGTGCAGAGCGCAAGGCGAGAGAGAGAGACAAACCATGTCAAGCCTTTGTTTTGCTTTCATAGGTTTCTATACTATGCTCTTCATCAGAGTCAGTGTTTGAACATTTTAAGCCAGCATGGACATTGAAGGAAGCACTCTTATGTCCCAAGAACTTGAAAAAAAATACAGAAAGTGCTGTGTCATCAGACACTTAGCTTCCTATTGAATCCAGCTTATCCTGTTAAGTCAGAAATGACTGAGCGCTTTATGAAATGAAAACCAAAACAGAATTTACAATTATTTCTCAGAAAATAAGAAGGATAAACATCACCCTGGGTAGAACTCATTTTAGACTGATTTCAGATAATAGCTGGATACCACAGCATATTTACAGTGTTCTTGAGAAAGACTCATGAAAGTCTGACATTTTGGCCTTTCATGAGAGGTCAAGTCCAAACAATTGACTGACACTTGATCTAAAAAATGACATCTGAACTGTCCTTGACAATCACACACTAGTGTTATTAGGCTTACTGAGAAGAGAATGAAGCTTTAAAACGAACAAAAAACTACAAAAAAAAAAAAGCCTCAACCCCCAGTTTCAATTTAAATTCTTCATGGATAAGTTGAAATTGCAAATTCTACTTTGTCAGCAAAGTTCCAGCCACTTCTGTGTGCTTTATATTAAACTTATGAATTTTATGATTAGGAGTCGTGATGGGAAACTAAAAGATCAATCATCTTACATCAAGGGATTTTTTGACTGTATGGTGTTTGCCGGTAATTTTTCAAGTCCTCCTGAAAATGTTTTTAATTGGTCTTGTAAATTAAGTGCCTCAGTGGTTCCTTTTAGAGTAAAACACAATGCGTGCTCTGATCAAAGTTGTTGTCGTGCCAGTTTCAAGTCTCAGAATAGGTGTGGTAGGTGGCAATGCATTCAAACTGCATTCAAACTGCCCTCCTGATTCAAAGTTTTTTATTGAATGTTGATTTTTTTCATAAATTAATGAAATCAATGTAGCTGTCAAAAGAGACTTGAACCTTCCTAGATTCAAACAATGACCTAAGAAAGTCTGGATCACAGACGTGTTGAAATGATTAATATAGTGTTCTTCTACAGCAATGAAGAGTTTAATATTTTTTCAAATATTTCAAGGCACTGGAAAGATTGATTTTCTGCACTCAAGGTGCTCATGAAGTACTCAGTTATACTAAAATCTTTTAAAAAGAAATGACACTTCAGCAGAATTATGTTTTAGCATTTCAGTCTATTCAATAACTTTTGGGGATATTAAGCCTTGTAAGGCCTGCATACTAGTATAAAAGCCTTCTGGAAATTAATTGACAAACCTCAGGCAATTATTGAAGAAGGAAAAAGAAATCATGCAGACCTTACAGATGTGGTGTTTTTCCTTGCATTATTGTAAATTACACTAAACTTTAAAGTTGCTATAATAATGTCAAATGTATTTTGTTACCATAAAACATTGTATCTTCCTGGTACTGAGCCAGTATTTGTTCTTAAACATTAAAAAGGAAGCAAAAAATTAGCTTGCTTGCAGAAATGTCATTGCTGTTGTATCATATGGCTGATGAGTAATCACTTAATTTTATTTTTAAATATTTCCACATGAATTCCTTTAAATACTGAATAAGCAGTGATACTCTTATTTTATTTAAATCAGATAAACTTGTACTTGAAAATGGAGAAAAAGCCTAATAAGAAGGAGGAACTGACACTAGTGAACAATGTTTTAAAACTTGCTACTAAGTTATTGAAGGTAAGAATTAAAATAGTATTACCGTATTATACATAACTAAGAAGCAGAACAGATTGCTTAATGAGTCACTGGTGTTACTTCTGCAGGCAGTACAATATGCTTTGGTTTAAATCTGCTCTGTAACTTTTTCATGGCGATGCTACTTGTTCATACGCTACAGTCTGTTATGTTGCTATCATTGTGGATTACAAATTATTATTATATACAATAAGTTTTATTCTTAAACACAGTACATGAGCAATGCGAGATGAGGTGCTTTGGGATGGACAGGATGATAAACTCTTCGGAAATAAGTTTTGCAATTTTGTTGTCTGTTTTGAGTGTCAGTATCTGTTTATAATCATAAGCTGCTGGTGGATTTGTATTCTTCCACAAAAATAATTCCTCTTAACAACTGTCAGTGGTTAGCGTTTCAAATTAAAACTAGATTATACTTGATGTCTTCTTCACTTACTGCCATAGAAGAATCCTTTGGGAAGACAGAGATAAATTGTTACATAGGTCCATTTGTAAGTGAATTAAAAGTATGGATTTCATTTAATGTAATTCAGATATTTGTCAACTGTGCCCTTGAACTATTTGGCAATTTTTTTTTTGCATGGAATTTTGCTGATTAGTAGAAAAGTCTTTTGATTGTGCAATATTATCCTGTTTTCCAGCTAACTATATTTTGTGAGTAGAAGATATTTCTTCATGATGAGAGAACGTGAATTTTTTTATTACTTCCCATTTCTAGAATTCTGCAGAAGAAAAAACATCTTTCAGTCATCTGGAGCTAGAGCATGGACACACTTAGGGCTTTTTTAAACTTGTATTGATGTTGTTATTCTTAACAAAGCAGTGGTTGAGGTTCTCGGGAAGACACATTTGATCCTACATTGCCTCTGCTGAGTTCCTCAGTTCTTTCAAACTCTCAGATCTCTCATAATTTGGGAAGCAAGCTGTTTTGTTCTTTCACTTGTCTAGGAGTTTAATTCTTCCTCCAAAAATGTCTCATTCTTTTTCAGACTAAACATTTCCCTAATCCAAAACTTATTTAAGGGTCTACCTGAATGCCAAATAAAAGCAATGAATTTAACACTTGAAAAACTTTTTTTATTTTAGGTTTGGCTTTTATGAACAAAACCAATCAATTAGGTCTAGTACTCCTTATGTGTTTTTACACTAAACTTAACAGTATATAACTTATAATTGACTGAAGTGGGCTTTCAGAGAGGAAGCCAGACCTGACACTATAAAAAGCAAATTCATGGCTTGCCTCCCCACCTCTCTCGCCATGGTGTTTCAGTGCTTAATCACTTCTACTGTTGTGTAAACATTTTTAAAATAGCTGCAGCTTTCAGTATTTGAACCTTGTTATACATTCTGCTGTTATGGTAAAGTTGTTAACGAGATGCTGCCAATTTTGTTATTCTTCGGTTCAGAAGTAAGGTAACAACAATATTGTGATTTCTCCTTCAGGGAATCAACTTCTTCATTTAGTCCAAGATAGAGTGGTCATGTAGAACAGTTTCCCAGGAATGACTGGCAAATGTAAAAGTATTTTCCTCCCCCTCAGATAAATTTCCGTCAATCCAGACACCCCTCCCACTGCTTCTGAGTATAGCAGAACTGATACTGATTCCATGTGCAGAGATCCTCATCAGCAGAGGGAATGGCTGGATTATCATACAGTAAACCTGAACCATATCTTTCAATGCCTCTGCAGTCAGGAAAATTAAAGCCTATTATGAGAAACAGTTGGGTTTTGTTGCATATAATGGTGCTTTAAGACCTTGGTGCCTCCATTCTAGCACACATTGAATTCTGGTCACCCACCCTGTTGATTCCTGTGTGCCAAGGAGCAGTTCTTAAAATGAAGTTTAAATTCTGTTTAATCAAGCCAACTAGTAGCTGAGATGATGGAATATTTCTTCTAGTCAGCTGAGTAATTCTCCCCACCAGCACACCTTTAACAGTGTGTGTGGTCCCTTCATCTCAAAAGAACTACGCAGCACTTTCCATGAGAGGACTGATGGAGTCATCAAGGACTGAAAGGTGACAAAGCAACAACTTGAGAGTTATGGTAGAGCAATACGGAGAGCCTGGCGAAGTCAGTTACTGACTGTATCTCTTGGTATAAGAATAAGGGACCGCAAAGCTTTTGGGACCTGGTTTTAGAACAAACAAAGTATTCTCTGTGCATCAGGTGGCAGGCGTGTGCAACTGTTGGTCAAAGGACACTGTGGATGCAGAAAGGTTTTCTGGATTCAAGGAGAGACTGGACAAATAGACTAGACAAAGCACAATAGATTCAGAGTATCTCGCAAGTTGAAATGTTTGTGTGCTGTGAGAAGTAGCTACTGTTGGTGGCAGGATGCCGATCAATGCTTGATCTGATTCACTTCAGTCTTTTTCAGCCTTTATGAGGCTTTTCTCAGTGTTTTAAAAAAAATGTTCATGTTTTACTCTTTCCAGAAATGTATCAACTGACATGGCCTTTCCAGCAGGGGACTTGGCTTTTGTGGCACAAATCCCAGACCCAGGCCATCATTTAGTTACTGTGAGAGCATGCCCAAAAATGAGATGGGATTTCCAAGCCACCTAGTATGAGCTTTATATGAATTCTTGGTAGTTAGTGATCAACGCAATCACGTATTTCATGTCCAGTAGCTAAATGGAGGTTTTAGTTGTTTTTTTTTTTTAATTTGGTTTTGGATGTTTTTGATCCTTAAGCTTTTACTGAAGACTGTATTATGTTGATTATTCTTACTATTTTCTTACTCACGGAATTGGTAAGATGAATCCAAAATCTAAAAACCTTCTCCTTGAAGGATTTCTCTGCTGTTCTTCTCAGAATCATGTCCTTCATATCTTTTTGTATTTGCGGCAAAGTTTTATACCACATTGCATCTAAATGAAATGTTGTTCATTCTTATTTCACTTCTTTAAAGAAGAATCAGAGCTCTGAAATTCTTCTTTATTAAAAAAGGCTTTCTTTGTTCAAGGCCCAGGATGTAATGCAGGAGAGGGATGAAGATGAATTTAAAGCTAGAAGAGATAAATGACCAAAGCTGTGATAATTGTTATACTTCATATAATGCACTATTATATTTTAAAACTTTTTTCTTCCTTTGTTTGACATATTTCTAGGCCAGAAAAGTTTGAGTGACTTTATTCATACACCAATAACTGAAAATTGGTGAAATAGCCTCTGTTCAAGTTCTGTTGCAGATTAATTTTGGCTAATTTTTTGATCCTTCCAATTTAAAAAGAAAAGTAAAATCCTGGCAGTTAAATGGCTATTGGTATTTTATTTCCTTTATCTTCCTTTTCTGGCTATGTCCATCAGTAATTGTTCTCAAAATTAATGGAAAAGGAGGGAAATTGCATTAGGAAAGATGTTTTTGTTAATTTTTCATGGTAGTGAGATAGCCTTCAGTTACTGTGGAGAATCTCTTTTCTTGTTTGTTTGTGGTTGTGCTGTCTGTCAGCTATTTTAACACTGAAGGTGATTTCTGGAAGATTATAAGCACTTCACCTTGGTGCCAGGAATAGTAGGTCTCTGTTTTCCTGGCTCCATGAGCAAATTGGTAGATGCTCTAGATGTGTAGCGTCCAATTTTTTGAAGGGTTATTTAGACACCATCAGTCAACAGTCAGTTAATGTGATCGATATTTTCTTGCACATTGTTTTTTGTATGCAGAAGAATAGGAGAATGTTTTGCTCCTCTGTTACTTGAAGACTTCCTAAACTATCTAATATTGCTCAATACATATGTGGAAAAAAACCCCTCTGTGTAATTTTTGCTTTTTAACAATGTCATTGTTTTACATTACTAGGAACTGGACAGTCCCTTTAGGTTATATGGGCTTACAATGAATCCACTGCTTTATAATATCACCCAGGTTGTCATCCTGTCAGCTGTTTCGGGTGTCATCAGTGACTTGCTTGGATTTAATCTAAAGGTAATGACTTGAGAAGCATCTTTTTTTTTCACCATGGCGTTCAGAATGTTATGATAGATGGATCATACATTGTAGCCTAACAAATTCTTAACTGTATTAACTGAAAGATTTATTGTTTGAAAATTATTATGAAACTTAAACTTTATCAGAAGAATAGTGATGTATTTGTCGAAGCAGCACTTTTAACTTTTTTTTTGCATTTTTGTGGCTTTCTTGATTTAGGACACATAATTACCAAGAATTCTTAGACATACATACAGAGATATTCATACACATAAATACAAGACCTTATTTAACTTTTCTTCGTATCCCATATCTAATTTCTCTCTTGAATTCCTTACTGTTGACTTCGTAGCTCTTTAAGGGATGCAGAAAGATGCAAACTATCCTTGTCTTGCACTGCAGTAAAGTATTACAGCAGATACAGTATTACCATGCCCCATCTTACTCAGTGTCATTTAGTCACGGCTGAAGGACTATCTTGACAGGTCCTACCCTCTGTCCCCTTCTGAGCTACAAACTCTGGAAACTATTTCAAGATTCAGGTTATGAGGCAATGTTACTTTCCACAAGCTTGTAGCACAAAGCCCTTCACTGGCCATTGAGTTTGCTTATGTCTATTCATATTTTTTTCTGTTAGAAGTAAACGAATGTAAAATTTATTTTGTGTATTATAGAATGTGCAGCAAATGCAGTAAGAAAAAAAAATGAGGTATTGCAGTTCTGGTAAACAGAAAACTGAGATGAGAAATAATGATTTACTGCTCTAACTTTTACAGCTCTGGAAGATCAAATCTTGACAATATATAAAGAAGATGAGATAACACAGTGTTATAGAAAAACTCATTGATTGACAAAACTGCCTCAAAGCAGCCACTGAATCTGTATTTCAGATGCTACAACCTCTTCAAGGATGTCGTTTGGAAAATTGAAGTGTTTACATCTGACTGTCTTGTGCAATCTTTGTATTTATTTCATCTTCTCATTGTTTTATGTTCATTTTAGTTGACATTTATATTTTATTTTCAAACTTACTTGTTTAGTTTTGGAAAGGTCAGATTTGGGAAAGGTCAAAAGCTGTGTGTCTGAGAACTTGAAATCCTGGAAATTGATTACACTAAATTACTATATATGTTGTTAAAGCTGAAGCCAATGTTGAACGTTTTTAGTTACAGTAACACTGTATGCAAATAATTTGATTTTTGATAGTGTGGTAAAATTGCTTAGAATATGTCATTTGCACCAATCATTTATGAGGACAACAGAACATCTGTAGATGTTTGGTTGCAATAGAGAAGTGAGACGTACACAAAAAATAAAATACTGACAATACAGTTTGACAGGTAACAGAAATATTTTCTATTACTATTAGAAGCAAGTGGGAATTTTTAATGTCTTGAGTAATTCCAGGATCTAAACTCATATAGGCTGCAGTTTAAATATCCTGGGATATTAATAAGGTATTCTATAACAAGTCAACAAGTGCTCTTTGATAACACTTTTATTAGAGCAATAATTGTAAATGGTTACCATGCTGTATGATATTTTGATATAATTAAATACTGTATTTATTTGAAATACTGGGCTGTTCTGCGCAGCTCTGACTGTGCATGCTCGATATGTGCACTTTTTATTGTTACTTTTAATGAGAAACTTTATATATACATATAAATGTATATTAATTGGAATATATTATGGTGAACTGTGGAGCAGTATATATTATATGTTGAAGTTGAATATTTAAACAAGCGAAAGATTTGCTGGTGAAAGGAATGCTATGAATGACTGAGTGTAAGATAGATAGATGCTCTCCTCTTGTACACTATAGTATATGCCATTCGTACCACATTGAAGTTTAAGAACAATTAAACATAGAAAACAAGTTCCTCTGGCGAGCAGCAGAGCTCATGAAGCCTGGTATTCAGCGGATTTGTGTCTTCAAATAACCTCCTTTCCCTTACTCCTCCCCAGCAGGGGTCATTCCCTAGCGCTCTCCCGGCAGAGGTTTCCCAGCCTCGGGTTTTCCACCTCTCCCTCTGCCTTCTCTCCCTGCCTCCCACATGGACCAGAAGTACTGACTGGTGGTTCTTCAGTGTGACAAAAATAGTCACCTGTGGAGAATTAAGTTACTTGGAACAAACTTCCCATCTACAAATTATTTGGGGAGGATTAATACCACCAGGCGCAAGTATTCCTACGTTTTATGTTTCTAAAATAGTGGCTTCATTTTCAAAAGTGACAAGTAAGTAGGTGACAAGAGTCTGGACATTGCACTATGTTTGCTAATCTTCAGAATCTTGAAAAAATTGAAGTAATGTATCTTAAACTTATGTGGTATACAAATATTTTTATATATAAAGCAACACAAACAAGCATTTTGTATTTTATTTGCCTCTGTACTAATGTTTAATAATGACCAAAGTGCATTCTGGTTTTTGAAAGAATGTATTACTGGAGCTTTAAGAACATACTATATTTTAGTTTCTCATGTGAAAACTTCAGCTGCATCTGATCTGTTTCTTCTTTCTCTGTTGTTTGATGTTGGGATTGTTTTTAAAAATTAAGTACATTTTATACACAGTTTTTTCCAAATTATGGTACAAACCTACACAGAATTTAATTTTGCACAAAATATATTTTAAGAAAAAAAAGTACAGCAGGAGTTCTATGGGTGATAAAAGATAAGGCTATTGTTTTTTACAGCCTGTCACTATTACAAAACCATTATTTACTCTGGAATTATTTTTAGAAATGTAAAATGAATATACGGCTTTCATTACATTTAAAAAAAAAAGGGAGGGAAAACATTGCGGTTTCGGTTGAAGGTGAAATTAGTTTAACCATGTATACCTCAGCAACTAGCACTGTGCTGGATTGTTGCACTAACAAATGGTGGCTTGGGGAGAGTAAAAGATTTGTGAAATGAAATTAAAAATAATAAAAATCTTTATTTGCTACCATTAGACATATTCATTATGTTAAAAATGGGACAGGTTTATTCTCCATCCCTCGATATGGAAAATCCAGTATGAGAATAGAGGCAAGTAGAAATATGGCAGATCTTGCGTGTTAACTGTTATTTTTTGCCACATGTTTTGTAACTGAAAGTGTGATCAGGCTTGGAATAAAGCTTTCTATGGTTGATGGTAAAAAAGTAAAAAAACAATGTGGTGAGCTATATCTTTTAGTAATATCCAGCATATTTCTGAGTCTGCCTGTTTTGATTTAAATCCATATATTCTATTTAAATTGAAGCATATTTGAGAGAGAAATCCTGCACATGGAATGCAAATGATGGTTGTCAAAATTGCACTTTATTGCAAGAACGCAAACTTCAGTTATGCAATGTAGTTTAATTTTATTAAGCTAGTGGACATGCAGCTTCCAAATAACGGTTTCTATTTGTAAAATACTGGAACAGAATTCAGTCCTATTCCACCAGGGTTTAAGGGATTAATTTCAATCACCATTTTGATTGTTTAGTTATGTCACAAGATACACATCCATGTAAAAATGAAAATACAAGCAAACTAAAGTATTTCTTGAAATCAAAGTGAAATGTTTCAGTAAGATGTTATGGAATATTTGGACACAATTAATGTGTGATAACTTCTGTATTTTATCTATTGTTTACTGATTAGTGAAATATTTTCTAAGAGAAAACTGTTCTATTAACAGCTTTCAAACACCCATTTTTAGTAGCTTCATTTTGGCTCTTCCAGAGCTTCGTATTTGGACTTTAAACTCGTTCTGCTGGTGGTATCCCCATGACCACCGGTTACTGGGCAGTAGGTTACACTCCACATTTGTGTTCACTTGCTCACTTTCTAAACTTACTCCAAACATAGGCTATTTACAGTTTAAAATTTCTTTTGATGGTCATGAAAGACACTACACATATTGAGAAATTAACATCATCTGAGAGCAATTCTTTTTAACATCCATCTCTAGGTGACACCTTAGTGTGCCAGAATTCTCAGATATTGCCAGAAATTGTTGTGCATAGAGCATGTTCCCTTAGTCCGGACCCCATCTGTGTCTAAGTACCTTCCAAAACAGTTATGGAGCTGAAGATGATAGGAACTGACGGATGCATTGTTGCTCACTGGCTTGGTTCAGGTCCTGTCCTCTCAACCCTGACCTTCTTAAAACTGTCCCATCCGATACAAAATCCAGCATGGAACTGGAGCAGCTGTTGGTGTTGGGCATGAATTCAGCATATGCTGAGTATGTCCTGTCTTACACTGGTGGTTAGGATTGGGAAATCCTGGTACCTCCTAAAGAGAGAGTGTATTTCTGCAGTTCAGAGCATGGAGCTGAATGTACCTGTATCCTCCAGAGTGCCACATTTGGTATCTGAAGGGATGCAAGACCTTTCAGGAAACCAGAGAAGTGAGTTTTAAGAGGTTTTATCTGTGTGCTGCTTGCTTAATATATGACTGCAAACCTATCTGTAAACCTGTCTCTGGTAGGCTCCAGTGAGCCAGACAGTGTGTAGATTAGATATATTGCAAAAATAAAAAAATAATTCTGCAACCCTTTTCTTGCAAAGTTACAATGCTACCTCAGCCTGGTATATGCCAGAGTAGAACAGCGCAAGTTAAAACAAAGTACAGATGAAATGCAGAATTATAGTTTGATTAGTCCTTCATATTATCTTCTATGCATGGGACCTTTAAAACCCTTTGGTAGATAGAAAATTTAGTAACTTGCAAAAGCTTCTCTGGGTTGTGAACACATTTCATTCTATGTCAACAGCTACAGGAATCAGATACAGAACCAGGTGAGCAGCTTTGACATAACTGCTAAGAATTTCTCCAAATCTCTAAAAGACTTTTTCAAGTTAAAAACTGTGAGGCTGTAATGGAGGCACCTGCACCCCGATTGCGCTTTGAGCACAGCTGTGTCAGCCGTCATGTACAGACAGGCGAGCGGCATTGGGAGAGGCATCGAAATGACAAAACCGTACCCTGGAAGCCTGGCTCTTGCTTAACCTCCCATATCCGTGCATTTGGAAGATGTTCATTTCAGTGGTCTAGAAGGAGCTAATCACAGTCCTGGACTTTGACTCTTGAAAGACAGAATGATTTGAAGCCAAATGAAGAGCAAACCAGCTCTTTCAATACTTAAAGGGGTCTTGTAAGAAAGATGAGGACAGACTTTTTAGCAGGGCCTGTTGCAATAGGACCAGGGGTAACGGTTTTAAACTAAAAGAGGGCAGATTCAGACTAGATACAAGGAAGGAATTTTTCACAGTGAGGGTGGTGAAACCCTGGCCCAGGTTGCCCAGAGAGGTGGTAGATGCCCCATCCCTGGAAGCACTCAAGGTCAGGCTGGACGGGGCTCTGAGCAACCTGATCTAGTTGAAGATGTCCCTGCTCATTGCAGGGGGGTTGGACTAGGTGACCTTTAAAGGCCCCTTCCAACCCAAACTGTTCTATGATTTTATGATTCATTACAGGTAATGCTTAAGAGTATTACTGGTTCAGATTTTAAAGATCCATTTTTGACATCCAACAGTATACAGTAGAAAGACTTATTTCTGTTTTCGACAGATGGTGAGTGTGGGCTGCTGCTCTCTACGGGATACTTCAAATTCAAAGCCATCCAACTTGTCTGTTGGAAGGAAAAGGAGGCAAACGGCTGTTGGTACTTCTGGTATACCCACTGCTGCCTCCTCAGGTAGACTTTTACCAGTTTCTCAGTAGTGAATTTGCTGCAACATAAGAATGAACTTTGGAGGAGAAGGAATGCATGATTTTTTTTTTTTTTTGTTAGTTCATAGAGCAATCTCATTTTTATTGCATGACTGCACAAAATATATCTGTATTGGTATGGGAGATGGGGAAGCAATCCTTTTAGTCAGAAATACCAGCTAACTGTATGGGGAAAGCAGTCATCTTTTCTCCTAATGTCATTGCTTGCAAGGTGGCAGAGGAAATAATCTTGAGAAGGTGCCCATGTTGTTTGTTTTGTTTAAGAAAAAAACAAAACCAAAGCACAACGGTCTTCACTTGCACTGTGGATTTCCACTCAAATGCTGCCGCCTTACCTCAGTCTTACCTGCCTTTCCGTACGTCAGTCTCAGGAAGGTCCGTGCTGGGCTGTTAGGATCCTGCTTTGCTGACACTTTCTTTTCCTGAAAATCACCACCATCTTGTCATCTGTGATGGATGGAGCCTGGAGATGTCCTTTGGAGCTCCTGTATGAGGTGTGTTCAGCCAGTGGGTGACTTTGACAATTCTGCTGGTCTTTGGGCAGTGTCTGGCCTGGGAGTCGAGTGCTGCAAGGCATCTGGAAGGAATCTGTACTGCAATGTTCATGACTTGGCTGATAGAGGTGTTTGCAGTAATGCCTGTTGGTTCTGCTCATTTTATCTCCTCATTTTGCCTATTGCCTTGCTAATTGAGCAGGTAGACCCCACTGGTGACAGCAGCCAAACAATTCTGGGAAGGGGGAAATGTCCAAGGCTGCTATGGGCAGTTTGTGATAAGGATAACTCGGGAAAGGAAGGGAGCGTGATTCCTCTGATATCGGGACGTACTGCACACTGACCCACTTCTGGTGACAATTCCACTGTCAGAGTTTGATATCTGCATCATTAACTATAAACAGTGAGCCCGGCATTGCCTGGGGCTTGGCAGAGAGAGATTTCTTCCTTATTGCCTCAAACAGGCAGTCACTGCCAGCCTTGGATCTGGCATGTGGTGCATGTTCTCTAGACGTACAGGCAGCCTTGAGAAGGGCCTTCTTGTGAAGCTTTCTCCATTAGGGACTCCAAGATCTTCCCCATAGTGTGTTTCTAGATCCCTTGATTAGGATTGAGACAGAACTTGCAGTGGATGGCAATGGGTGGTTCGGTGATAGTAACAGAAAACTACAGAAATCACTGAGGGTGCAGCTGTGAGTCTGATCTCTTGTCACTTGGTCTTGCTGTGAATGCAAGATGGTCATCTTGTAGGCTGAAGATTGTTGTCAGCCTGTGGCTGTAGATGCTGTGGCTTACCCAAGTCATCTTGGGGAGGCTAACATGTGGAGAGACTGGTTCTAAATGTAGAAGGTCCCCATATCCTGCAACCTGTCTCAAAGCTGGTCAGCTACTGCCACTGGGTGTTTGTCCTCTTTGGTCGTTTTGATCCTCATGAATACTGTGCCCCACGGACTTTACTAGGTATGGGCAGCTACAGTCATCTTGAGGATGCTGTAGACTATTGCTTAACATTGGATGTTTGGTGTGAGAGGGGATGTTCCATGTGAAGGAAAATCTGTCAGCCCTCTTCGGGCTGTGTCAGTAGTTGGATCTGCTTTTCCAGCCCGAGGCCAGCCCCTTGCAGAGGGCTCTGCTTGGGGCCGGCGGTGGAGCACGCTGCCACCACCACTTTGCCGGCTGGTCTGCGCTTCAGCTGATATAATATCAGGTTTAAGGCAGATAGGACTTTCTGGCAACGAGGTGTCAGAAGGTCCTGCTTTAGCGCTCTCACACCCAAGACGCAATGGAGTTTTACCTAAGCGGGTGTGTAAGACCATGGAATTTAATTGTTGTATATTAATGTAAAAGCTCAGGCCAGAATCTTAAGTCCCATCTTGGTTTCACCAGGGGAAGTTTGCAGTGGGGCAATAGGAATAAATGGGAAAGGGCAAAGAAAATCATTTGGTTGATGCCGGCTGCATTAACCGGCAGGTTGCCGGTGTGAGCTCGTCATTTGAGAGCTTCCCACTGTTAGCTGTGGTACACGTCCTTGTGGAATGTCTTAATTATGCACGTGTAAAATATCCATGTAGTGTTAGTTTAGATTAAATGTTGGAGAGTCAGTATGTAACCTCAAGGTGTTAAAAATAACTCTCCCAAAGTGTTGTTACAAAATAATATTAAACTGATTTTTAAAAATCATATTTTTAGCTTTTCCTTCCTATTCTTTTCCACTCCTTAATCATTTTACACTTGAGCTGACACTTGC